TTTAGCTGAAGATGACTCCTACCCTGCAAAAATTTATATTGATGTCCCCTAGTTTTGCTGTTCTCACTGTTAAGTACGAAAAAAAGTGATGGCTTAGACTGGATTTTTTAATTTCATAACAAACAATAAATAAGCCTTAAATAAAAAAAATATATTGTATATTTTTAAGAAGGTTAAGAAATACTCTCAAACACTATATAATATTTAATTACATTATCTAAGTTAAAAATCGCCATTAACTTATCAGACAAGAAATCAGTTCCTTTAGAAAAGTAAATACTGTAGCGTGTTGAAGCTAAAAGTGAAATTAATTCAAGTTTAATTCAAATTAATTCACGTGATTTTTCAATTTTGATAATTTTTTATAAACCATTATTAATAAACTCTTGTTTACTCTACCTGTCTTGACTTCAAGTCTCGTTTAGAGAAAAAAATTGCAGAGTTTGTCTCGGAGTTTTGCGCATAGCAAAAAAAAATGGTTAATTGTGCATAGCTGTTCTAGTTTTGTAATGACGTGTACTTGAAATAATAATCAATTTTTATAATTACTCTCACAGATATACTCCTAATTATTGACTGTTTATCATTTCCAAATTGCCATTATTAACTTCTCATATATGAACATTTATATTTGTACTCCTGTTATATTAATATCCATTTGTTTCTTGAGTTTCGCCCAAAGTTACTCGAGATGATATCTGCGCTGGCTATCCCTAATTTTGAAGTGATAAACTATAGAGGTAAGGTAACTGATCAATACAACCCACCATCAACTCTTAGGCTACTCTTGACAGATCGAATAGTAGGATTTGCCTGTGACTCTTATAACGCACCCTCAGTCCCAGTATAGAACATGATTTTTTTAGTTAATTAGAAAAATTCTATAAAAACTGAGAAGCATGCAGTGCTATTTTTTTCTAATCTACAATAGCATAAATGTAGTTGGAAATTGTATCTATCTTACTTAGCTATATATATATATATAGAAACTTCTTTTGACAATCATACACTAACGTAATTGTCAGTACAGTAGAAGAAAAATGTTATTATAGGAATATTTTAGCCCTCCAGTGGCACAGCGATGCGTCTGCGGACCTACAACGCTAGAAACCGGGTTTCGATACCCGTGGTGGGCAGAGCACAGATAGCCCATTGTGTAGCTTTGTGCTTAACTTCAAACAAACAAACAATAAGAACATTTTATATGCAGGTAGCAAACTCTTCGTTAAAGCAACAAGGGTCATCTTTACTGGAATTGATATTGTTTTCATAGATATAACGATAATTTACATTTATCTAAGTATACTATTCCTCACTTCTCCGGGTAAATCATTATTCTAATTACGAGTGTCCGTATTTGACATTTTGTGACTCACGTTATCTCCACCTATAATGGGCGTATTATAATTCTCTTATAACAAATAGAGATATAAATTGTTCAACAACAGACAAAAAAAGCAAGGCGAGTGGATTAACACAGTCGTACAAGAACAGATGGGCAACATTATCTAACAGACAGACGAGACAGATGAATTAAAACTCGTTCGTATAATACAGACAGAGAGCCAAAGTAGATACAGAAACACGTATACGTATGGCTGGTTTGAAGCAAATTGTTAATTTGTAGATACTTATGGAATAAAATTTCTGTTAAAAGAGTGGACTCATTCTATCAAAAAATTGTATTATATGAAAAGGCAATCTGGTGAAAGGAAAGCATGAGTCAGCTAATGTGTACTGAGGTTGACAGTTTGAAAGAAAATTTTGTTAAAAAAATTATTACTTTCTTTTATGCAGTGTGAATCACGTAAAACTCCTTTTGAAATGCTCTTTAGAACATCACAGTTATAATAGCATCTACATTTTAGCTAGAAATTTATTAAATGGAACAAATTCTTTTTTTTTTCCTCTTCGTTCGTCTCTGTATCTCTAAAAGCAACGTTTCTGGTATAGATTCGTATGAACAAATGGATTCTAATCGTCCATATACATCCAATCAGCAGTCCAAAATCAAATCAGAGACTGACAATTTGCTTCAATATTGAATCACAACTTGCTCTGAGCACCACCACTAACGGCACTTTTTCTTGCTATTGTCATTTTTTATTGAATCAACATGGACTGTTATACGCAGAACGGTCGCCTCCAGCAACCAGGATGCGCATCATCTTTTCATCTTCCGTATTCTGACTCTCTCTTGTTGTAATGGGCGGCATGTTAGAGCCCACAGATTGAATTATTTGACGTTTAGAAGCTTTTTGACTAGGCAATAACTTCTAGAAACCAGAGTAGCTCTTAAACATCCTGGAGCAAGAATCCAACGTAGATACAGTTAGAGCTTCAAACGATAACGTGTATGTGTTTCTTCACTCTATCTATTTGTTTACCTATCTATCTATCTACATATCTATCTGTCTACCTATCTATATACGTATCTACTTATCTCTTTCTGTCTACCTATCTATATACGTATCTACTTATCTCTTTCTGTCTGTCTATCTCTATCTATCT